CAATAGGGAGCTACATTTCCTACTTTTTATTTTATTTTTTAGAATGAACTACTAATGAGTTTATTAATTTTCATAGTTATGCAAGAAAGGATCATTTTTATAAGTAGTTTCTTGGAGATTCTTTAGTAAGCTAACATTTTATTCAGGGGTGAGATAACATATATGTCTCAGTGGTGTTCTATAAAGGTAAGTCTTTTAAAATGATTGTGTAATAACTAAAGTCATTCATGTAACTCATCTGTCCCTCAGCAGTGGAAGTCTGTTATTTGTCTGAAAGTTTGCTTCATTAATGTTTTTGTTTTGTTACCCAGGGCACAACTATGTGGCTTTTTTGTGGCACCACAGACAAATAATTACACATTCTGGATCCAGGCAGATGACAAGGCTTCTTTGTATTTAAGCTTGTCCGAAGACCCCCAAAGCAAGGTACCAATACCATAAACTACTACAAGTAAAAGTTAAAATTCTGTGACCTTATAACTTTGCATTGTGGCACTTGCTGGCCTTGCCCTTTGTATAGACTTCCAGAGCAGGATCTGTGTTGATTTTTCTCTCTCTGTTAAATATAAATTGTGTAGACTGTTACAGCTTCTTGATGTTTATATAGTGCTTTTTGAGTGTTCAAAGTGTTTCCCATACATTACTTTAGTAGACAGCTGGGACAGCTCAGAGCATGAGACTCTTAATCTCAGGGCCATGGGTTGGAGCCTCATGTTGGGCCAAATATTCCTGTGTTTCAGTGGGTTGGACTAGATGACCCTCGTGGTCCCTTCCAACTTTATAAATTCTATGATTCTACCCTTGTAGCAGGGAGCTGGGGCCAGACTCTGAAATAAGAGGAGCTTGCCTAATTTTATCTAGTTAATTCCTGGCCTAAGTGAAATTCAGAAGACAAGTCACTCTTACTAGCACAGTGCTTATGAATCATTTGCTAACCAGAAAGGAAATAGCTGATGATAACTGATTTTTAAATTGCTTTAGCTTAGGGAGGAAAATAAATATATTCTAAATAACTTATCTGCCACATGCAAGGAAACTTCATTTGTTATGACTTCTCAAATGTAAGACTCCCTTATCTAAACTGTCCCTAAGTAGCCGAGAGAATTCCACCACACATTTTTCAAAAGATCCAGCTTTATTAGAATTTTAAGATGTTCCTTGGGGGAATGCACACCTTGGATACAACGATCCTTTGTTTACCAAATGATGACAAATCTTTTCTCTAGTTTTTGGTTAAAGTGATTGTTCATCTCTTGTTAATAAAGAAAGAAATGTTCTCTCACGGGATTGCTTCTTCTGGTTGGTTGTCTTGCCCGTAAAACATGCAAAAGATCAAATATCTTTTTTCAGACATTGATAAAACTAATTTCATTTGTTCAGCAAAATCACTTCTGTTTCGGATTGCTGTGGGTGCAGATGGTCTCCTCAAGGATAAAGTATAAAGGATCTTTATACTGGGATCTTCAAAGCAGGCTGGGGGGTAATTTCCCTTTCCCTTCTCCAATTCCCCCCTTGAGGCCTGCAGGTTGTTGTTCCGAGAAGAGTGGTGGGTGTTCCTCTAGCTTAGCGGCTTTTGCAAACAGACGTGCCTGCATGCCGGCCACGTTTCTTGGGTGTCACTGTTTGCTGGCTTGATTGGTTATCAGTGGAGAGATCTTCCTGTTGCTCCATCTCCTTGTTCTTTGGGTTGCCAGGGGTGGTGAAGCGGACAGACTGTTTCTTTGTCTGCCGGTCCTCTGATGGCGACGCTGCTTTTGGCATGGAAGGGTTGGCCAAACTGTAGAAAATATCGTTCTCAGTTCGACGTGGCTTTCTTTGGGCTTTCTTCAGAGCAGAAGTACCTGTACGCCTAGCATGTTTCTTGAGGGCCTTCTTGAGTTTAGCCTTGATCGCAGCCCTCTTCTTTAGTTTGGCGTGCAGAAGGCCCGAGCGAGTCCGAGTGTAATGCTTCTTATTCCTTGGCCTGCCCATCCGTGAGGGCTTCCTGCTATAGGCTTTACTCCTCTGGGAGCACATGGTGTGCTTGGCCTTGTGGGCTGAAAGGACGTTGGCCCTCATCCGCCTGTCGAAATACCGGGACATGGGCTGGCGCCTCTTTTGATACTGACTCCTTGCATACCTCACTATGCGTCTTGTCCTCGCTTTCTTCTTTCGCCTGGAATGTAGCCGCCTTCGTCTGCTCAGGATCTTCCGGGATCTCTTCTGCCTCCTTCTCTGGTAGTAAGCCTTCCTACGTCTTTGGACAGCAGACATGGCTTTGCTGTTTCTCTGCCTTCCTGTTCAGCTTAGCTGTCCTACTGCAAGTGACAGTGACCTCACTCCAGCTGTGCTCTTATATAGTGGGAGGCATTCAAATGAGGGACCGGCTCCGGGTGCTGTGATTGGCTGGGTGGAACAATAGTCCAGTGAAGTACGTAATAATGCTTAACTGTGAGATATTTCCTTCAGGGTGAAATCACAGTAAGGTCCCCCCCATCTAGCCTTGTGTTGAAGGAGGGGGAAATAGCTGTTGTCATGGCTGAAATAAAAATGAATTTCTGGAATTCTGGTCATCCTATAATGAGCCAATATTTGGGCCCCTATTAATGGTATTCTAAAGGTATCACTTGGATTGGCGCCATTATTATACAGAGAAAATGCTGGTTTCTACTTGAATTAATGTCCCAGTCATGTTTTGATTCATTACACCAGCTTTTTTTGTTGTAATGGACAAGACATAATAGAGACTGTGCGGCCTCTGCTTCTTTCCATGATTGAGAAACTGTAGGAAATAATCACTTGCATTTGGGTAGTGACCATGATCTTCAGGATAGGTTGCTATATGAAAATGTGTAGGCAGTACCTTTGGTTTTCAGAAGTAAAAATAGGGCTAAATGCACCTAGCCCATCAGATTTTATTTTTATAAAATGAGTATACAACATTTTTTTAAAAAAAATCTGAGTTGTATAATCAAAATGCCATATATTAAAATGACACATACAATACAATACAAATCTTTATTACGGTCAGAGACCAGAATTTAAAATCTAAAAAGGGCTTTAGAAAGCTAAAAGGTATTAAAACACAAGGTGAATATAAAAGTCTATAAGAATTTAAAAGAAGCTAAAAGAATCCAAAAGAAGGGTTAGGAACATTGGGCAGGTGTGGTAGAGCACAAAAGTTTGATATATAAAGGCTTTAGCTATCATTTACAGAGCACTCTGATATGTTCATTAAAACTGATTTGTGGCACATAAATGATACATAAAACCATTTAGTAGCCAATAGAAATGGACCAGCAAAGCGTTAAGGAGCAGATTACAGGAGCCTTGTTTGCTTGTTACCTTAAGCCATAGTTTGAACTGATATACAGGCGCATGTGCAGTGTGCTAGCGCATGCTGCTGTGAGCACTCTGCTCCTCCAGGGCTGCGTGGAGCTGAGCCATGGTTAGTGTTATGTCTGAAACTAAGCTTGTGGTTTCTTTCCACCAAACAAACTGTAAGCGATAAGCCAAGAGCAAACCTTGGTTGTAAGCTCAGCATTTGGAGAGAAACAAACCTCAAGCCAATGTTTGGACATAACAGTAAGCCCATGGTTTAGATCAAAGCAGTGTAACAGGGGAAGAGTTTGGCTTAGTTTAATTTATGGTTTAAAGTGATGTATGATGCAGGCTAGAAAATAGCAATTTAAACAGCTTCGCCAATAATTTCATGGAAGGTTTGGTGGAACAGAAAGAAATTGAATGAGAAGGCCTTTAATAGTGTCCTAAAACTCATTAGACATGTGACTATCCATAGGCAATGTATTCTGCACTTGTGGTTCAACAGAAGCATTCTGCATTTGCACCATGCCTCTCAATACTTTTGACAAAACATACAATATAAAAAATGAGGCGAGTTAACCTCCAGCTTCTTGTCCTCTTCAGCATGAAAGGGTTTTGGACAAGACCAATATACCAGATATCAAAATAAATGATCAACCTCTGTGACGGAAAGCTCAGCTCCACCAGTTTGGTGGTGCAGTCCCGCGGACTTCCACCAGAGGGCCGAGCTGTAGCCTCCCTCTGATTGGCTGCTGGTGCAGCTCGCCAGAGGTGGGCGGAGTCAGCACTTTGGAAGGGAAAAGGTAAAGCAGGAGAGAGAGTTGGGCTGGATCTACATTGATCTTTTAAATGTTATTAAATACAATGTTGTATAACATTTAATGGCAGTTTCCCTTTGCCGGTGGCTCACTAATCTGCAGCGCCCTCTGGTGTCACATTTTAATAAGACATTTCTAACATTATAAGCCATGAGTGCAGATCCGCCCTTAGAGAGAGGACAGTTGAGAGGTGACTTTCTTGATATTCAAGCTGGATAGAAGTATAGTTTCTGAGCATTAAAACACAGTTCTATGCCTGGAAAGCGCAGTGTGGATGAGCACCTGTCTTCAGAGGTGCTGTCAAAATATGTGACATGCATGATCCAAAATTCTAGTCTGGTGATGTTTTGTTAAAGTGGTCCCCATTCCCCAAAAGACAAGTTCATGAACACAATGGATCTTCTGCCTGATATTTAGTGCCATTCATTTTCAAAATGAGCTGGAATTAGAAGGCTCCTTTGACAGACTGCTGATGTGACTGCTTATGTTTTGAATGACCTTGTGAGCTCTTACGTTCCCTCATTGAGGGATGTAAACCCATTTTTCTTCCAAGCCATTCACAGGTTACTCTTAGCTAAGTAACATATCTGTTATTTAGCCAAACGCGCATCTGGCTACTCTGACCACCTTATTTGCGTATGTCCTACAGGTGCGCTTAGTTTGTATTAGAAACCAGGCTTTTAGTGTTGCATCTCCAGCTGTCTGGAATTAATTAACAGCTGAAATTAAGACAGGCACCCAGTGTCATGACATCTGGGGATTAATTGAGGAGGGAAAGAACTGTACATGCCCCCTTGAACTCCTTGCAGACAAAGGTGGGTGTAAATGCAATGAATAACTGCTGTCGCCTACTTGAAAACAGGTGGAAATTGCATCCATTCCCGCTGGCATTCCTGAATGGTCAGCGCATTGGGAGGAGAACTGGAGCCATCCCTGGAAGCCAAAATCTGAGAAATTTGAGCTTACTGGTGGTTCAGTGTACTATCTGGAAGCTGTGCATCATGGGAAGTCGCCAAAGAATGGAATGAGAGTTGGAGTCCAGATTCACAATACTTGGCTGAATCCCAGTGTGGTTAATACCTATCGCAGAGAGAAGCACAAAATACATGCCTGTGCAGTTAGGCTTCCCGAAATACAGGTTAGTCTCATGGTCGTGAGCTGAGCCTCATATTCATAGGAGTTGTGATTCTGGGCCCTTCCCACAATTTCAAGTGATTTCTAGTCATGTTCCTGAGAGGTGGGTTTTCCCCCCCTTTTGGTCTTGCTGCTTTCTCCTGGGAAACCTGTTTTTTTACTGCTGAATCAGAACAAATGTTGGTTGAGTTCCCTGTGGATTGACGTTTGTGACCATTTGACCACATACTCAAAAGTAATAAAAAATGCATCGAGCCAGGAAATATCAACACATGTTGAAAACATTTAGTTCACTGGTTCCCGAATATGACAATTTATGGGAACTTAATTGTTGTTGTTTTTTAAAAAAAGATTGTGAAAGTTGTCTCCCAAGTCTCTTGGAGTTCCTCGTTGGGCAAAATCTAGAGAAGAACTAGGGATTTGATGGGATTATCACATTCATAACTAGTATTTCTTTGTGCTGGGATTCATGGCTGGCCTGAATTATATAATAACCACTGACTTAATTCTAGAAGTGCTTTTTCAGTGGCTGCTAAATAGAATGGGTCTACAGATTTTATGGAGTTAATTTTCAATGACAGAGATCACATTGATCTTGTAGTTAAGGTGAATGCTGGGAACTCTAAGTGACAACCGTGAAAGGTTGTCCTCGTGGTCCCTTCAACTCTACAATGCTATGAAATAATTATTTCAAGTTTCCATATTAGTACCACTGGGAAATAACTACTCATACTTTGCAAGGGTCTTTCTGCTTCATAGATGCTGATACTATCTGGTACAGGATGGTTCAGACTTGCCTGGGACAATGTGACCACCAACCTTATGTCAACAAATATTACAGCTGAACAAGTAAGTCGAATTACCGCTGCAGGTCAATAAATCCTTTTGGTTATAGAATCATTGGGAGGGTATTACAAGATACTTTCTGAGCATCATTTATCAGCATGGAGAAATTCTCAATATCCATCTATGTATGGGCCAATCTAGTTCTGTATTCTTGACCTTCAACGACAGTGGATCTCTTGGGTTTCAGGCAGGAGTCTTTGCAATCCTACCTGGAGATGCTGGGGATTAAACATGGGATTTTCTGGCTCTTCTGAATATAATAAACACAGGACCAATAAATTAAGGGTCAGGAAAATATTGTGATATGAAATGTGATTTTCAACATGGAATATTGGGGAAGGTCATGGCTCAGTGGTAGGACGCATGTTTTGCGTGCAAAAGACTTCAGCTTCAATCCCTGACCTCTCCAGGTAAGGCCGGGACTGTCCTATGTCTGAAACCCTAGAGAGCCACGACCAGTCAGAGTAGACGATAGGGGGATAGATGGACCAATGGTCTGATTTGCTTTATGGCATCTTATGGTCTTCTTGCAAACATTTCTAAGATTATGGTCTTTCCAGTGAGTGGCTCTTGTCCAGGTTTGTTAATTGTCTTACTTTAAATGTTGTGAGGCTCGTTTGCCCTTTCAAAATAAGTTTTTTTGGGGGTGCTGAGTTTTTGGGTTGTTTTTATTTTGATTATGTATTTTGTGGTTTTCTATTCTCTGGGTATATAAATTCAATTAATAATAATAATAATAATTTATTTTATTTTAAAAAATATTTTTATTTTTATTTTAAAAAATATTTCAAAAACTGTAATAAAATTGTGGTTTTCTGATGCAACGTTACATAGAAGAACTGTACAATCCATGTCAAGTGCAAAGGCTCTTAATGGGTGATAAGAGCAAAGCACAATTTAAAATTTTGTTTCAGAAATGGCTATACAATCAATATATGAATATATGAATATTTTCCAAAAGCTAAATTACCAGAAACTTCTAAATTGCTAGAAAAGATATTTCATTTTTGTCATTGTTATATGAGAAATTGTAAAAAAAATGCAAAATACACAGATTTCTCTTGGATTGTGAAAATAAACTATGGTATTTGTTATGCCTCTTAGGTTATGATTTTCTATGTGACAAGTTTCCCTACAAGTCACACTTTCTATTGAAATAATGGGTATGCAAAGTATGCTCACCTTTTAAAACCCAATAAATGTAGAGCAAAAGACATTGTATGTATTGGTCTCTGAAACTGTATTCACATGTTCAAATGAAGATGCTTAGGGATATTTAAAAAAAAACACCTTAAAAGCCATTGTCTCCTAGTTTTAACCCTTACCCCTGTGCTGTTTCCCCTATCTAAATTCACCTCTGTGCATGGCTTTGCTCTTATTTGCTCTTCCATTCCTCTTTTAATATCTGCAGCTCCAGAGAGAGATAGAGGATCTTCTTCCTTTAAGATGTGAAACACAGCCATCATCTGCCAAAATTATTCTGCGGGAAGGATTTGAGCAAGGTAACATTGTCTTTTTACATCCAAAATATCTTTATGTCAGCAGAATACTTTAGTGCAGGCATAGGCAAACTTGGCCCTCCAGATGTTTTGGGACTATAACTCCCATCACCCCTGACCACTGGTCCTGTTAGCTAGGGATGATGGGAGTTGTAGTCCCAAAACATCTGGAGGGCCGCGGTTGCCTATGCCTGCTTTAGTGGCTCTGTAAGAACAATAGAATCTGTGAGGCTGCTCCAAAAACCTTCTGAGCACTCAAAATTCAGGCAGGATGAAAAGTCGGCGGAGAATACACATTTGAATATATAAGAGCTCTCCATTCACTGGTAGCTCGTGTTGGTCAGGTCCATAAATATTCATTCCTAATATATTATGGACATTAAGAGATATCTGCAGTGTGTCTCTTTTGTTCTGTATACTTTTCACGCAGTGCCCTTTCTTTGCCATTGCCTCTATGGTTTGTACCACCGTATGTGTGGCAAAATCAGTGTATTTCATAATGTTGTAACTTAAGTTGCTCACACATATCCTAATAGTGGGTTAGGAGAACTGAAAATAATGCCAGTCTTTTTCACACCTGCCCTTGTGGAGGGCTCAGCTCTTTCAGGCTAAAAAGTCTCATCAAAATGCCTCAATTGGTATCTGTTTATGATGACACAAAAGGATTCGCTGATTCCTTTGTTAGGCATTCTTTATTTTTTCATGATTTTGGGTGGAAATGACATTGGGCAGGATCACGACATAAGGGGTGACCCCCCCCATAAGGGGAGTGAGGAGGGGTCTGTCCTTGCATCAACCCCTCCTCCTGGTTGCCCAGAGGGACCTGGATGCCTGGCCGACACCACGTTGGAGTCCAACACTGGCAAACACCCATGGGTGCTTTGGGTGTTTCCTAATTGATGGCAGGAATAGCATTCCAACAGCAAGGACTGAGTGGAACGGAAGATGAGATCCTTTCCCTACCCCACTGCTGCATAAACCAAATGAAGTCATAGCTTGTTCCAGTGTACGAATGTGTGTTTGCCATGCTTATTCCTTGCGTGCTCATGAACTACAACCTGTGACTGCCGCAGGAAGTGAGACTCTTGGTTCCATCCCCTGATATTATCCAAAAATGATTTCCTTTTCAGTTTTTCAAAGAGAGGTAAAGCCAGTTTGTCCTCATGGGAATCTTGTGGAATCCGTGTCAGTGGTCGGTGCTTCACCTGTGTATAACGTGTCCTTCTTAATGACAGACTATTGCAAGACTTTCCCTCTTTTCTCGTTGAGGTAGGAATTGGTTTCAGAATTGTTCTGCGCCCTCCTGAAATGTTTGAAGCTGTATCTGTTTACATGGTTTCATTCTCACACAGAGGAGCTGTGCCTTGGGAAGGAGCAGGAGGGAACGTGGGTGAGGCCCAAATCAATCTGACGGTACAAAGAGTGCAGGCTGCAAGTCCACCTCTTGGAGGAACCTTTCAAATCCATCTGCCCAATATTGTGATACCAGGTAAACTGAGGCTACGCAGCCTCCATCTTTGGAAGTTATAGGAAGAAGTCATGGCTAGCTTTAGATTTATTTCTTGGCCTGTTACTTCTGATTATGCTCTTTACACATTATTATTCACTAATATTTCCCTGCAATACTGCATTTGTCCCTTGCTTATTGAATCACTTATTTTGTCTTGTTTGAACTGTTTATTTTTAAAAAATGTTTTGTATTTGGACAATAGGTTAATGCCTATTGTGAGCCACGTTGGGCACAGTGGCATAGAAATCAGCTAAACTTAAACTTGATAGATGCCGGGTTAAACAGATCACAAAGGTTTCTCTTCCATGCATTTAAATATGAAACTATTCTAGTCATGTCACAAAGGGAGGTTAGGGATTAGATTTTGGTTTAAAAAGGAACCCTTTCCCCGCTGCTCTGTGACTTACCTTCATCCAGCCTCTGTCTTCAAGTAATTTTCTCTCAGGATCACTTCTGGTTTCAGAGCTCCTGTTAGGAGAACAGTACTTGGAGCATGGGAACTAAGGGAAAAATAAGCTTTGGAGGACAGGGAATGTGTTCCTCAACTGCACATCCCCTTTGCTTTAAAACCAGATCTCTACCTTCTCTCTAGCCATTCCCTGACTGAGAGAATTCCATACCTAAATCACATGTCTAGATTAGCCCTAAAGAGCTGTACTGCTGCTGATACACCAGAAAAAGCCCTGTCAATATGCTAAACACATCAACCAGCTTCATGCAATATGTTCGCATTTCATGAAACTTGCACTTCATTGTTTAATCACATATTCTTCTTCTAAGGTTTCTTGGTTACTGACTTAGGTTACTTTATATAATCCTTTCCCCAGGCATTCCAGTATCCATCTCTGCCCATCACCTCCGCAAGCTCCTGCAAGCCTACAGTGATAATTTCACAGCTCAGTATGTGAATGCCAGTGACTTTTCGGTATCTAAGGACGCAAGCAATTGTTATCAAAGTATATGGACACTGACCTGGACCTCAATGATTGGTGATTTACCCAATTTCATCAGTGTAAGACAATCTTTTAAATATATCCAATTGACTGCTCAGTATTTCTTTGTATTCAAGATTAATTCATTCACAGTTTCTGCCTATACATGTGCTCTTGCCCTGGACCTTTATTACTTCAATCCAGAATTTGTTTATCCTTGATCTCATCCCCTTTTGCCTTGTTATTTTCTATGCTTGTAAATGTCTTGTACAACCAGAATGCATCTATAGTGCTTTGAATCATAGAATCATAGAATCATAGAGTTGGAAGAGACCACAAGGGCCATCGAGTCCAACCCCTGCCAAGCAGGAAACACCATCAGAGCACTCCTGACATATGGTTGTCAAGCCTCTGCTTAAAGACCTCCAAAGAAGGAGACTCCACCACACTCCTTGGCAGCAAATTCCACTGTCGAACAGTTCTTACTGTCAGGAAGTTCTTCCTAATGTTTAGGTGGAATCTTCTTTCTTGTAGTTTAGATCCATTGCTCCGTGTCCGCTTCTCTGGAGCAGCAGAAAACAACCTTTCTCCCTCCTCTATGTGACATCCTTTTATATATTTGAACATGGCTATCATATCACCCCTTAACCTCCTCTTCTCCAGGCTAAACATGCCCAGCTCCCTTAGCCGTTCCTCATAAGGCATCGTTTCCAGGCCTTTGCTCCCATGGCAGGAGAGGGAACTCAAACAATCAGGCAATTACTTGGTGCAGTCCTTTCCTAGCCTCTGAGATGGTCTTTATTCTTCATGTGACCTTGCTGCCTCAGAATGCACACGGCCGGCGGTGGTGCACCTGCCCACTTATTAAAGGCTTCCAAATCGGAGAGACCCTCGTACATTGAGGGATGGCTGTACTATGACTGTACTTGAACTGGCTTTGAGGAAGCCTCATCCTTCCCACCTGTGCTTTCTTTCCGTCGGTATTTTATTTTACCCTGCTTTTCATCTAGAAATTGTGTCCCAAAGCAGCTCACAACATTTAAAAAGTAATGCAAAATATCATTAAAGCACAAGATGTAGCTTTTTCCAAGTTTCATGAGATTGCGACTCATCATTGTTGGGATGTGAATAGTTACTAGGAGAGGATATATTTATTAGATATTATCCTTTCTTTCTCGTGTGTGTGAGTTCAGCAGAGTGCCATCCCTTAAAAGGAAGCTTAGACAGGTAGTTTCAGCCTTTTAGTTTAAGTAATCCAGGATGCTTTAAGGCAGACTGGATTTTCCTGGTATTTCCCCCTTTCCTGCCCCTTAAAATAACAATCGCACAAACAGTCTTGTAAAAGATAGAAATAACATTTACACACTCAGAAGAGGAACAGATACAGCAGCTTTCTTCAGGCAGGCTTACAATGGTAATTCAGTTACAAAGGCATACTTAAGTCTAGCTTAAAATGTGGTCTGATCTC